CCTTTCTCAGAAAAATCAAGCCACGGCGTCATGACCTTGGTCACCTTGCTTCGGTCAGACAGGGCCTCGACCTTTTCGCCAGCACGTGGCTCGCCCGCACCAAAGGAGCTGCCAAATGCAACGCATGGCAGCTGGCGCTCCTCTTAAACTACCTGTCGGGCGGGGACCACACCCAACAGCGACGTTCTCGATCAAATACGTCCGCTGATCCCAGCCCTATTTGCCGTTACTGTGATGAGGAAGAGGAAACTCAGGAGCACACTGTGCGTGACTGCAAGTGCTGGGCCCGTGAAAGAGTCCCTCTCACCACCCTCATCAGTGACGAGCAGTGGGCACGTCTTCCTCCGCACACAAGACATTGCGGGCTCTTCGATGAGGACCCAGCCCTCCTCGATCTGCAAGCCGACCTCGCGAGGGACCCGCTACCTCAACCCATACCGCGGCCCCCGCCTGAGGGAGATCCTGCGGCTTCAGCCCAGGACTCCTACACCACTTACCTTGACCACGACACTGGTTGGACATGGGTCTACGCTGCCACGGACGGTGCATGCACCAACCAAGCCATCCCTTTGCTTGCAAGAGCGGGCTACGGCGTCTACTACGGCATCGACCACCGCATGAACTACAGTGCGCGCGTTCACGGCATCACGCAGAACGCACAGCTTGCGGAGACCCTCGCCATTGTCCACCTCACGGCATGTGCTGAACGGCCCGTACACGTCTTCGTGGACAACCAGGCGGTGGTCGACGGCTTCCAAAGGATCATCGACGGACACTCACCTCCGCAGGGCACGCACGTGGAGTTCTGGGAAAAGGTCCACCGATGTGTCATGGCCAAGCCAAACATGTTCCGCGTAGAGAAAGTCGCTAGCCACCAGGGCGACACGGGCATCGACCTCGGGCTCATCGGGCCCATCGCGGAGGAGTTCAATCGTCAGGCTGACGCCCTCGCCACAGCGGCGGCACGTACTCATAACCTTCCAGACGACATCGTTGAAGCTGCCAAAGCACGACACCGCCAAGCGACCGTGCTCCATGGAGTCGCCGTTGCCATCTACGAGCGGAGACATCGTACTCTTCCTCTCCCACACCGCAGGGCTGGGTTCACTGCTGCAGAACTAAACAAAATGGAACCAAATCCCCTGCTGTCTGACCAGGCTCCACCCGCGGCTGGACCAGACATCCCACAAAACCCCGACGAGCTCTGGGCCGAGGCCCAACGGGGGTTATTCGACGAACAGGAGGACGACCCGTTCGGCTTTGGTGGAGGTTTGGACTTCCTGGGCGACGAGTCAGCCAGCGCCAACCCTGCCCCGGCGGGCACCCGCACGGCGCCCCCGACTCCGCCATTGAGTGCGTCAGCCCACCCACATGACAACGCCGTTCCTTTTCAAGACGCTGATGAGCAGGACGATGACCTTTTCAGCCTCGGTGGGGGATCGGACGCTTTGGACGACGGACCAGCCAACGAAAACCCCGCCCCGTCGGGAAACCTCGCAAACCCTACTGCGACGCCGTCCCCAAGAGCGTTAACGCCCACATACGATGATATCGGTCACCGCCAGGACGCCGACCACGACCCGAGTGCCCCCCGAGGATTGGGTGGCATTGAGGACGCACCGCCGACACCACACGCTGCCGACCATGCCGCCCCACCGAGTCACCAACCCTCTACGCGACCGACCTCAGCGGCCTTGCACGGCATCACGACTGGCCCCACCGTGCATACCACTTCACCTTCCCATCGTCAGCGACCCGCGGGGGCGGCTTCAGCCCCCCCGCAGGGTACTAAACCAGACAGGCCCTCGTGCCCCACCCACGCTTCCTCCGTTGCTGAGCGAGAGGAAGCGGCTCCCCTGACCTCTCGGGGCGCGGCCCTAGCGGCTCCAGCCCTGGGGTCGCGCCGGCCCCTCCAGTCACCTTTTAACGGTGACGGACGTCAGCATTCAGGGTCCCGCACGCCGCTAGCCCACCTGGACAGGCGTACCGAGGACCTCGCCTCTGTCTCGAGATCCTCGGCGGATGTCACTGAGCAGCCACCTCTCACCGACCGTGAAACCGAGCTGTCACAGGCTATGGCTGCCCTTCAGCAGAAGTGCTTAGCTCTCGCCGCGGACCTCGCCGCTGCCCAAGCTCGTCAAGGTCCTCTACTCCAGCGCCTCCACAGCGCTGGGCGAGCCTTCGCCGAGCTGCTCACGACCTCGCCCGATGGTGTCGTGCCGTCACTCAACATCCAAGCTATGTTGTCATCGTTCCGCGGCGCTCCACCTGGTGCCCCGCGCTGATCTCCTCCTTTCTGCCTGCCCGTGTGTACGTGTGGCTCCGCGTCCACGGTGTCAGGGCGTGGGGGCGGGGGGTGCCCCGTCACTGCGCGCCGCTTAGCGGCCAAGCGCCCAACTGGCGGTCCGCCAAGCCGCCTAGCCACGTGCCAGCACGTCGCCTTTCTTGTTGGGGCCTTTTACCTCACGCGGTCTGTCAGGTGAGATCTTCATCGTCTGTCCGCCGTCTGTAGCGTCAGTCGCACTGCGCCGGGGGAGGGGGTTTTGTAGCCCGCCCTCGTATCTTAAGGCTGCACCGCCGCAAATAGTGCTTGCGAGTTGTCGCACCGCAGTGCGCCTCGCGGACGGACCCTGGTCCGCCTACTTGTCCGATCTCTCTCTCTCTCTCTCTCTCTCTCTCGCTCGCGCTCGCGCTCGCGCTCGCGCTCGCGCTCGCGCGCTCTCTCTCTCTCTCTCTCTCTCTCGCTCTCTCCCGCTCTCTCTCTCTCTCTCTCTCTCTCTCTCTCTCTCTCTCTCGCTCTCTCTCTCTCTCTCTCTCTCTCTCTCTCTCTCTCTCTCTCTCTCTCTGCTCTCTTCGCTACTGGCTTCTGACGGAGTCTGGGTTAGGTGAGCCTGAGTGTGGGTGAGTCTGAGTATGGGTACGTCTGTGTGTGCCTGACTCTGAAGAAATGAATCTGAGTGTGAGTGAGCTTGTGTATGAGTGAGTCTGGGTGCGAGTCTGAATCCCAATGGTGCCCCTGGCAGTGTCTGGCGACTAGGAGGCCCGGGTCGACTCCTCTTTGGGAAGCCAAAATGCTGCCCCTGGCAGCGTTTGGTGACTATGAAGCCCCTGGTGGACCCCCCCTGGGGCTCCCAAATGATGCCCCTGGCAGCGTTTTGTGACCATGAGGCTCTCAAGAGAGACATGTTGGGGAGGCCAAACGGCAATTTTAGCTGAGACGTCCCACCAAAATCGGCGCGAACGGGCTCGTGAGATCAGCCAGGGTGGCTCCCCCTTGGGGCTCCCAAGTGATACCCCTGGCAGCGTTTTGTGACCATGAGGCTCTCAAGAGAGACATGTTGGGGAGCCAAACGGCAATTTAGCTGAGACGTCCCACCAAAATCGGCGCGAACGGGCTCGTGAGATCAGCCAGGGTGGCTCCCCCTTGGGGCTCCCAAATGATGCCCCTGGCAGCGTTTTGTGACCATGAGGCTCTCAAGAGATACATGTTGGGGAGGCCAAACGGCAATTCTAGCTGAGGCGTCCCACCAAAATCGGCGCGAACGGGCTCGTGAGATCAGCCAGGGTGGCTCCCCCTTGGGGCTCCCAAATGATGCCCCTGGCAGCGTTTTGTGACCATGAGGCTCTCAAGAGAGACATGTTGGGGAGGCCAAACGGCAATTTTAGCTGAGACGTCCCACCAAAATCGGCGCGAACGGGCTCGTGAGATCAGCCAGGGTGGCTCCCCCTTGGGGCTCCCAAATGATGCCCCTGGCAGCGTTTTGTGACCATGAGGCTCTCAAGAGATACATGTTGGGGGCGCCAAACGGCAATTCTAGCTGAGACGTCCCACCAAAATCGGCGCGAACGGGCTCGTGAGATCAGCCAGGGTGGCTCCCCCTTGGGGCTCCCAAATGATGCCCCTGGCAGCGTTTTGTGATCATGAGAGAGTGTGAGTGTGAGTGAATGTGACTGTGAGTGAGTCTGAGTGAGAGTGAGTCTCATCTTATCTTATCGAGTCCTATCTTATCTTACCTTTATTACCCTCTATCTTATCTTATCTTGAAATCTCTTATCTTGTCTTAGCTTATCTTATATCAACTCATCTTATCGCATCATATCTTGTCTTATCTTATTACTCCATAGGCTGTCTTATCTTATATATTATCCTACCTTGTCATATATCTTATCTTACCTTATCATATATTGTGCTATCTTATCTTATCTTGTAGTATCTTATCTTGTCTTGTCTTATCTGGTGATTATCATTGGGAGGAGGGAGGCGCGAGCGGGAGGAAGAAGGAGGAGGAGGAGTGGGAGGCGTCAGAGTAATAACAAGAACCCCAATCCTTAGGATATGGGGAAAAACCCAACACGTGTACTACAGCATCTTACTGCCCCATCGCCGTCTCCCTCCTTGTCCGAATCCCTCCCTTTCTCTGGGAGGATACGTCGGTGCATCCTCAGACAGGGGCGCGACGGCCAGGCGCAGAAGAGAGGAGAGAGGATATAGAGCAGGAGGAGGGAAGGCGAGAGCGAGGATGAGCAGAACGAGGAGGACAATGAGGAGGAGGGCGGGGAGGACAGGATCGATCAGCATCGAATGGGGAAGTCGGATCGAATCGAAATGATCGTCAGCTTGGGCGGCATCGGCACGAAGCCAACATCGAATCGAATCGGCTGCGCCAGAGTGCACAGCAGTGCCTTTCAAACATCGGGCCGCATCGGATCGTCGGAATCTCGGGGTCGAGTCGGATCGAACCGAGCGAAATCGATATCAACTCGTATCGATCGGATCCAAATGGACCCTGGGAGGAGGGCCACTCGACTTTCGGGCCTTATACGGGCCACCGGTGGCCGTTCGGGACGATCGGGGCATCCCCAGAATGCCCTCGGCGAGGCGCAGCTGCTGGAACGCATCCAAAGGATGGAAAACCGCCGAGGACCGACGAAACGTTCCAAAACATCGTCGAACCTCGAACGTCTTTCCCTCCACCCTGAGGGGTTGGCTTGCTGGGGAC